GCTCGACACTAAATCCTAGTTGGGCCTAGGCTACTAAGCCTAGGCCCTAGTTAATCTTAACTCTCTCATTCGTTCAACTCTCGACATAGGCTGTAGTGGGGTAGACAATATGGGGTACAACACTTTTAGGTTTTCCTACTTGTACCCACCTGCTTGCTAGTTCATTCATTCCTCATTTCTTCACATGGTATAGAGCAGGTTCCCTAGTGGGAACACTTCCTTGGGCCCACCACAGAAACTTTTTTTTCTGACCGGAGCGACGGTCGCTCGTGCCCGAGGCGCGCCTTGTGAGCTGCCCTTCTGTGGACCTCTCTTAGAGGCCCCTCTCACGGCCCCTCGCGCCACCCTCAGCGGCCCCGTTGCCGCCCCTAGCGGCCCCGTAGCCGCCCCTAGCGGCCCCGTAGCCGCCCTTCCAGGCCCCTCGTGGCCCCTAGCGGTCCCGTCGCCGCTCCTAGCGGCCCTGTCGCCGCCCCTAGCGGCCCCGTTGCCGCCTATCTCCCTACGCGGCCCTGTCGCCGCCCCTACGCAGCCCCGTCGCCGCCCCTAGCGGCCCCGTTGCCGCCTCTACGCGGCCCCGTCGCCGCCCCTAGCGGCCCCGTAGCCGCTCCCCTCCCTACACGGCCCCGTAGCCGCCCCTACGCGGCCCCGTTGCCGCCCCTACGCGGCCGCATAGCCGCCCCTAGCGGCCTCGTAGCCGCCCCTACGCGGCCCCGTCGCGGCCCCTAGCGGCCCCGTAGCCGCTCCCCTCCCTACGCGGCCCCGTAGCCGCCCCTACGCGGCCTCGTCGCCGCCCCTAGCGGCCCCGTCGCTGCCCCTAGCGGCCCCGTCGCCGCTAATCTTCCTACGCGGCCCCGTTGCCGCCCCAACGCAGCCCCGTCGCCGCCCCTACGCGGCCCCGTCGCCGCCCCTGGCGGCCCCGTAGCCGCTCCCCTCCCTACGCGGCCCGTCGCCGCCCCTACGCGACCCTGTCGCCGCCCCTACGCGGCCCCGTCACTGCCCCTAGCGGCCCCGTCGCCGCCCCTAGCGGCCCCGTCGCCGCCGACACTCGTACGCGGCCCCTTTGCCGCCCCTACGCGGCCTCGTCGCCGCCCCTACGCGGCCCCGTCGCCGCTCCTAGCGGCCCCGTCGCCACTCCCCTCCCTACGCGGCCCCGTCGCCGCCCCAACGCGGCCATGTCGCCGCCCCTAGCGGCCACGTCGCCGCTCCCCTCCCTAGGCGGCCCCGTCGCCGCCCCTAGCGGCCCCGTCGCCGCCCCTAGCGGCCCCGTCGCCGCCCCTACCCGGCCCCGTCGCTGCCCCTAGCGGGTAGCCGAGCCGCCGAGCTGCCCAGTAGAAGCAGCCGCCCCTGGAGAAGCCGCCACTGCAGCAGCCGCCTCTGGAACAGCCGCCACTGCAGCAGCCGCCCCTGGAGCAGCCCCCACTGCAGCAGCCGCCCCTAGAGCAGCCGCCACTATAGCAGCCGCCCCTGGAGCAGCCGTTACTGCAGCAGTCGCCCCTGGAGCAGCCGCCACTGCAGCAGCCGCCCCTGGAGCAGCCGCCACTGTAGCAGCCATCCCTGGAGCAGCCGCCACTGCAGCAGCCGCCCCTGGAGCAGCCGTCACTGCAGCAGCCGCCCTGGAGCAACAGCCACTGCAGCTGCCGTGGAGCTCTCGCTCTACAGTGGTAGCGGCATCGCCGTTGCCACCGTCGTACGCCTGCCCTTCTCGCCACTGGTGAGCACTGCCCTGCCCGTACTACTGTTACTACTGCTCTTACTGCTGCTGCTCTTTTTACTGTAACTGTTGCTCCTGGCGTGGCCATATGCAGCTCCAGCGTCGCCCGCGTGAGTCCCTCAACCCCCAACAACTTCGTGAGTGGTACGCTAGTTGGGGTTGTCGGGGTGGCCGTAGTGGGAGTCGTCCTGGAGTGAGTAGTTCCGTAGCTGCTTGTAGTGGAAGGATGCAACTCCAGCGTCGCCCGCGTGAGTCCCTCACCCCCCAACAGCTTCGTGAGTGGTACACCAGTTGGGGTTGTTGGGGTGGCAGTAGTGGGATTCGTCCTGGATAGAGTTGTTCGGCATCTACTTCTAGGGGCCAGGTGCAGCCTCAGCGTCGTCCGCGAGTGGTCCTCTCGCCCCAGCAGCTTTGTGAGTGGTACGCGTAGTGTGACGGGTCCCGGGGTACTGCTCGCTGTACGTACGTCATTCGCACTGGTGCTCGGACTGGTCAGCCTTGCGGGACGTTAGGTCACGCACCGTCCCACTGCTTCACTCGACTGAGCGACGCCTGGCGTACGGAGTTTCGTGACGCGGCTGAGCTCCCCGACTAGGTGGAGCTGCTTCAGCTTCGAGTCAAGATCTATACTCTTGACTATGATGCTATCCTCACTGCCATGTATGCATTGCCTACTAGTGATGAGGGTGACTGTTACCTGTGTGTTCCGCCTGACCCGGGCATTGAGGCTGCTGCTCTAGGTGCTGATGAGGCTGCTGCACTAGGTGCTAGTGCGTGTGCTGCCCAAGGTGCTGGTGAGTCTGCTCTCTCAGGTACTACGTCGGCTTGGGCCGTACACACCTTCACCCTTGACTCGGGTGCGTCCCGCTCCTTCTTTCAAGACCGCACCACTCTTACGCCGCTCACTCGGTCGGTTGCAGTCTCCCTGGCGGACCCCTCTGGGGGTGCTGCCCTTGCTAGCTTCTCCAGTATCTTACCGTGCCCGGCAGCCCCCTCTGGCACCCTGTCAGGTCTCTACCTCCCCTCGTTCTCTACAAACTTGGTGAGTGGAGCGGACCTACAGGATAGGGGGGTTGACCAGTTCACTCCTGCGAGTCAGCGAGTGACCCACTGCACGTGTGCTCGGACAGGCCGACACTTGGCCACGTTCACCCGTCGGCCAGTGTCGAGCCTGTACACCCTTACTACTGAGTCTCCTCCAGCTGCTGAGTCTGGCCAGGTAGCTGCATCGAGTCAGGTGTTTGCTGCAGCGTCAAGGTCTGGTCCTGAGTCTGCTCCCTGCTCATGTCGTCTACTCTCACACCAGACTCTCCTCTGGCACCACCGCCTTGGTCACCCCGCCCTACCTCGTCTCCGAGGCATGGCCTCCCGTGTCCTTGTCTCTGGTCTCCCTCGGTCTCTCCCTCCCCTACCTCCGAGGCCTGCCCCTACCTGCATCCCCTGCGTCGAGGGGCGACAGCGCGCCACCCCTCACTCCTCTGGGTTTCCTCCGACAGAGGCTCCGCTACAGACCCTCCACATGGACGTGTTGGGCCCCGCCCGGGTCCGTGGCAAGGGTCACGAGCGTTACTTCCTGTTGGTGGTTGAGGACTAGTCGCGTTACACCACGGTGTTCCCCTTACGCAGCAAGGGTGACGTCACTGAGGTGTTGATCGACTGGATCCGCGCAGCTCGTCTCCAGCTCAGAGTGAGTTTCGGCTCGGACTTTCCTGTTGTGCGTTTGCACTCTACCAGAGGCGGGGAGTTTCCCTCTGCCCGTCTTGGAGTCTTCTGTCGTGCACAGGGCATCCGCCAGACCTTCACGCTTCCGGCCTCTCCACAGCAAAATGGGATTGCTGAGCGCCGCATTGGCATGGTCATCGACGTTGCTCGTACGTCCATGATGCATGCCGCTGCCCCCCATTTTCTGTGGCCGTTCGCGGTTCAGTACGCCGGGCATCAGCTCAACCTTGAGCCCTGGGTCTCCTTGCCAGAGACCTCCCCCGCCTTACGGTGGACCGGGAAGGTTGGCGATGCGTCTGCGTTTCGGGTCTGGGGATCTCGGGCGTTTGTCCGCGACTTGTCTGCGGACAAGCTGTCCCCCCGTGCTGTTCCCTGCGTCTTCCTTGGCTTCCTCCCTAACGCGCCTGGGTGACAGTTTTACCACCCCACCTCGCGCTGTGTTCTGTCCTCCCAAGACGTCACCTTTGACGAGTCGGTGCCTTACTACCGTCTCTTCCCCTACCGCACTGCGTCCCTCCCCCCGCCGCCGCTCTTCCTTGCGCCAGGTCCTCCCCCGGTAGACCCCCTCCCCCCTTAGGGTCCTGCCCCGTCAGGTGTGTCCCAGGTAGACGCAGTCGAGCTTGTCGAGGTAGCTGCTGACTCTGGTGCTGCTAAAGGTGCTGAGCCTGCGGGTGCCGGGTCTGGAGGTGCTGAGTTTGGGGATGCTGAGACTGGGGGTGCTGAGTCTGGGGGTGCTGAGCCTGTTGGTGTTGGGTCTGGGAGTGCGGAGCCTGGGGGCGCTGGGTCTGCTCGTGTGGCCGCCGGCGGTGCTTCGTCGAGGCGGGAGCCACTCTCTCCACAGAAGCTGCGCGAGTGGTTTGCCCGCCGCTAGAGACGTGCTGCTGGAGTTGGAGGTGCTACTGTTGTTGCAGGTCCCAGAGGTGCTCGTACTGGCGGTCTTGGAGCTATTAGGACTGGGGGTGCTGCTGGGGCTACTGGAGTTGGTCCTGCTGGAGCTGCTGGCGGTGCTGGTGCTGCTGGAGCTTGAGCTGCTGGGGGTGTTGACGCTGGTGTTTCTACTGGCGCTGGTGCGTCTAGGGGTGCTGCTGAGGCTGCTGGAGCTGACGGTCCTACTGGAGCTGGTGCTGCTGGAGCTGGAGCTGGTAGGGGTGTTGGCACTGGCGGTGTTGCGGGTGCTAGTGCTTCTGAGGGTGCTGGAGTTGGCGCTGTTGGAGTTGGAGGTGCTGCTGGCGCTGGTGCTGCCGCTGGGGGTACTGGTGCTGTCCTCGCTGGTTCTGGAGGCGCTGCGCGGCCGAGGCCGTACTTGGTTCCGCTCCTGGAGCACGTTCTTGGTCTACCGCCCTCTACTGGTCCTTCTCCTCCCTTAGAGTGTCCACAGCTTGTCCAGTCGCAGTCACAGTTACAGCCCGCCTCCCCTCTACCTCCTCCTTCTCCCTACACTGGTGCTACTGTAGGTCTTGCTGAGCGTCGTGAGCTTGCGTCTCCTCCTGTGTTGCCTGTTCGTGCTACTCGCACTAGTGGTCGTACTGTGCATCCGCGTCCTCCTGCAGTCCCCGTCACACACCAGATGGCGCTGCGTCCTTCCACTGCTCCTCTACATGTCCCGTTGCTGTCTCCTCCAGAGTCCTCTGTTCCTACTCTTGCTGACCCGGAGTCTGACTCTCTTCGTGCTGCTAGTCCTCCGGTCACGCGTCTCCTGGCTACTGTTGTCACTGACCCTTCCTTTGAGTCCACTGTTGCGTTTGCCCTCGTTGCTGAGCTTGTCGAATTCAGACTCTCTGTCATCTAGACTACGCTGCTAGTCTCGTTGCTTAGTCTGAGTCTGTCTGTCCTCCGTCCGTCGAGGGTGAGTGGGCTCTTGGCACGGACGTCCTTGAGGACAGGCAGGAGGAGTTCCAGTGCTTTGCTGCTGCTTTGCCCCATCTCGTGTCCACGCTGATTGCCCTTGAGGGAGACCCGGATGCACCAGACATCCCGACTCCTCGATCGTACGCTGAGGCGATCGAGGGTCCCTACTCCTCTTAGTGGCAGTAAGCCATGGACGCAGAGATGGCTTCCTGGAAGTCCACAGGCACCTACGTTGACGAGGTTCCCCCACCTGGGGCGAACATCGTCAGTGGCATGTGGATTTTCAGGGTGAAGCGGCCGCCGGGTTCTCCGCTTATCTTCAAGGCGCGTTACGTGGCTCGTGGCTTCAGTCAGCGGCGGGAAGTTGACTATTTTCAGACCTTCTCTCCCACCCCGAAGATGACCACTCTTCGGGTGCTGCTGCACATAGCCGCTCAGCGTGACTACGAGCTTCACTCTCTTGACTTGTGTGCAGCTTTCCTGCAGGGCAGCATGCACGAGGAGATCTGGCTGCGCCGCCCTCCTGGCTTCACTGTGTCGTTTCCTCCTGGTACCCAGTGGAGCCTCCGGCGGCCAGTCTACGGTCTCCGCCAGGCGCCCCGTGAGTGGCAGGAGACACTGAGGACTACTCTTGTGGCTCTTGGGTTTGCTCCTTCTACAGCCGACCCGTCGCTGTTTCTGCGCACCGACACCTCTCTGCCGCCGTTCTACATCCTCGTGTACGTCGACGACTTGGTCTTTGCCACTGTTGACACTGCTGGACTCGCCCACGTGAAGTCGGAGCTGCAGAAGAGACACACGTGCACAGACCTGGGTGAACTGCGCAGCTACCTTGGCTTGCAGATCACCCAGGACAGAGCACAGCGCACCATTACCCTGACTCAGTCACACATGGTGGAGCAGGTCCTTCAGCGCTTCGGCTTCACGTACTCCTCGCCTCAGGCCACTTCTCTGTCTACTCGCCACTCGCTCTCAGCCTGCCTTCGGATGAGTCCGTAGAGTCGAGTGGCTTGTACCCAGAGCTTGTTGGCTGCCTCATGTACCTGATGACTGTCAGTAGATCTGCACTGTGGATGCCCGATTGATCCTGGAGAGGGTTAGAGGCGCGTTCGCTTCGGGGTTATGGGCGCACTGACCCGCTACTAAATCAAGCCATTTTATCCCAATGGTCTAGTGGTTGGGATTCTGACATGGTATCAAAGCAGTCTCGGGTTCGATTCCCGGTGTATGCACATGTAGGCCGGTGCCGCTGTGCTTAGTCCTGGGCCTCCCAGTGTGGGGGGGTGTCAGTAGATCTGCACTATGGATGCCCGATTGATCCTGGAGAGGGTTACAGGCGCGTTCGCCTGGGGGCTTATGGGGGCACTGACCCGCTGCTGAATCAAGCCCTTTTATCCCAATGGTCTAGTGGTTGGGATTCTGACAATGACCTGCACACGACCTGACCTTGCATACCCTCTTAGCATCTTGGCACGCTATGTTGCTCCTGGGAGACACCGACCAGAGCACATGGCTGCTGCGAAGAGGGTGTTGCGCTACTTGTGTAGTACTTCCGGCATGGGGCTAGTGCTTGGAGGGCGACGTCGAGTGGTCCTCACAGGTCACGCTGACGCTTCTTGGGCTGACGACCAAGCTACGCAGTGGTCGTCACAGGGTTACACCTTCAGCCTTGGCTCCGGCTCTGTTTCGTGGCGGTCTACCCGCTCGTCTTCTGTTCTCGGCTCCAGCTGTGAGGCTGAGATCTACGCGGGGGCCATGGCTGCACAGGATTTACGCTGGCTCACCTACCTGCTGACTGACCTAGGAGAGCCGCCTCGTTCTCATCCAGTTCTGTACGTAGACAACAAGGCCATGCTGGCCTTGTGTCGGGAGTAGAGACTGGACTCTAGAACGAAGCACATTGGTCTTTGCTACTTCCTTGCTCGTCAGCTGCAGTAGCGTGGTCAGTTGTGCCTTGCTTACGTGGCCTCTGAGGCCAACACTGCTGATATCTTTACCAAGGCACTTCCGCCTTGTGATCTTCAGCGCTTATGTACGATGCTAGGTCTTGTGCCTACTTGGCCTCACTTGCTCACTTCTTGACCTTGCCTGTACTGTGATCTTTCTATACCTGTACTTGCTTGTTTACCTTTATATATGATCTTGCATGTGAACTGGCCTTTTGGCCTTGCTCTTGTGCTCGGATTGTGTGGTGACGTTGTGATCCACCCTGAGCTTGCTTTGCTTTGCTTGACTGGTGTTGTGACCTCTTGTTCTCCCCCACTTTTGTCAGAACATTTTCGCTTATACATTTGTGTAGGCTATAGTGGGGTAGCCCACAAGGGGTACAACCCAATTAGGGTTAGTACTTGTACCCAACTCTTTCATAGTTCAATCATTCTCGTTTCTCGTGAACTTTGCCTATGGGGGTGTGTAAAACTCATATGCTATAGTCTGTGTAGGCTGTAGTGGGGTAGACAATATGGGGTACAACTCTTTTAGGTTTTCCTACTTGTACCCACCTGCTTGCTAGTTCATTCATTCCTCATTTCTTCACAGAAAGTGAGTTGGGAAGATTGAGGTTGCTGGTTCGAATTTTGCCTCCTGCCTCTGCCAGGCAGGTGCATACATCCTTCGAGAGTTTTGCCTTCAGATGGAAAAGACCCGATATCTGCAGTTTCAAACGAAGTGTATAAGGCTGTCTGAGAAATCAGATGAATAGAAAAGGCTTCTCTTAAAAATCAGACGAAATTAAATAGCAGGTCTGCGACATCAGATGAACCAGTAAAAATGTGTTCAGAATCCAGAAATTCAGACCAAAAATGTGTGATAAAGTAAGCCCTGGTCGTCCGGTCTGCGGTGGCGGTTGGCGTTGCGTTTAGCGATGATGTTCGATTTTTTAATTGCGTCTACTGCCCGGGTCCGTGCTGCTTGTAATATTTCGGCAAACTGTTGTGCTCGTGGTATTGGGTTGTCGGGATTCGTGGTCATGGGTACTGTCGGGTCTTGTCCGTAGTTTAGGTAAAATGGTGACTGTTGGGTCGTGGCGGATGGCGAGCTATTGTACGCGAATTCGATTAGTGGCAGTTGCTGTTCCCACGTGGTCGGGTCCTCACACGTGGCCCTGATGAGCTGTTCCATGGTCTGATTTGTCCGTTCTGTCTGTCCGTCGGTTTCGGGGTGGTATGATGAACTGAATTGCAGTCGCGTGCCGAACTGCTGCCACAAGTTCCGCCAGAAGTTGCTGGTGAATTTCGTGTCGCAGTCGCTGATGATCACGGCTGGTATCCCGTGCAGTCGAACGACAGTGGAGATGAAGAGGCGTGCTGTTTCTTCGGCTGTGATTGATTGTTTGCATGCTGCAAAATGTGCCATTTTCGTCAGTCAATCGAAAACGACCAGGATCGCGTCGTTCCCACTCGCTCCGGCCGGTAACCCCGTGACAAAGTCCATCGTCACCTGCTGCGAAGCACGCTCTGGGGGTGGTATCGGCTGCAACTGTCACGCCGGCCGCTGTCGTGATGATTTCATGAGGTGACAAGTGGGACACGATGCCACGTGTCGTTGTACGTGGGTCAACATTTCAGGCCAGTAATAATACCGCTGCAGCTGCTATCGTTTTTTTTCTACTCCAAAATGCCCCGAGGTAACTCCGTCGTGTGCCTCCAGTAATAGTAATTCCCGTAGCAGTGTATACTCAAGCACCCAAATGCGGTCAGTCCCGGCTTTTACGTAATAGACTCCCCTTGCTGCTGCAAACTGCTGCGAATTTCCTCCTGTGAAGAATGGATCCGTTTGGTACCCGTGGGTGAATAGGCCTATCAGCAGCGAGCTTGTCTGGGCGAGTAGTATAGCGTGGATTTGGGCAGTGGGGCGGGTCAGTGCGTCGGCGATGTTCGAGGCTCCCTTTTTGTAGGTGACCGTGTAGTGAAAGTTGGACTTGAGGAAATCGAGCCAGCGAATCTGTCGTGGGTTGAGGTGTGGCTGTGCGCGAAGGTACTGTAGTGATTCATGGTCTGTCCATACTGTCACGTCCGCGCTGGTCAAGTAACAGTGCCATACTTTGAACGCGTGCACAATCGCAAGCATTTCGCGGTCGTGTATCGAGTAATTTTTCTGGAGCAGATGCAGTTTTCGTGACTCGTATGTGATAGGCTGTAGGCCATTGCCGAAATCATGTAGTAGTGCGGCTCCGATGGCGATATCGCTTGCGTCGGTAACTACTTCAAATGGGCGGTGTGGGTCGGCGATGCGCAGGACAGGCGGTGAACAGAGAACATTTTTCAGGGCAGAGAAGGCAGCATGCTCTTTCTCCCCCCACGTAGAAGCGACCCCTTTCCGCAGTAAATCCGTCAGTGGGGCGGTTAACCGTGCCATATCGGGGACGAACCGACGCACATAAAAAACGAACCCTAAAAAGCTCTGCAGCTCCGTGATGTTCGTCGAGGGATGCCACGCTTTTACCATATCCAACTTCTTTGGGTCGATTTCAACTCCAGCCTCTGAAATAACGTGCCACAAAAATTCTAACCTATCCTGGAAGAACTCGCACTTGGAACCGTTGGTCAGTAATATGTGCTCGTCTAAAACCTTAAATATTGCCTCCAGACTTGCTAAGTGCTGCTGCTTATCCCTACTGTAAACGAGGATGTCGTCGAGGTACACGATCACACATTTATCTAAGAGCGGCCTAAATGCCTCGTTCATGGTCATCTCAAAAGTCGCCGGTGCGTTGGTTAGGCCGAATGGCATCATCGTGCACTCGAACAACCTGTACCTAGTCCTGAAAGCTGTTTTGGCGCAGTCCGATGCTTCGACCCTAATCTTGTTGAGATACTAGCGAGGCTTGAGAGCCATGGCTAGTGAGAGTCTTAGTAGCTTAGGTTTAGGGTTGATCAATGTCGAGAAAGTTGAAAGGAGAATGAAGTGGTTTCACTAGCAAGAGTTGGGATACAAGTACAGCACCCTAAATTGGGTTGTACTCATTACAGAGTACCCCACTGCAGGCTAGATAGCAAATACATTCTGACACACCCCCATAGCCAAAGTGGGGTGTAATCAGTACAATGAGAAAGCATAGAGCAAGAGTTCACTATAGGTAAGTAAGGCTAGAGCAAATCACAGAGTGCAAGTGAGGAGGAGAGACTGTGGGGGAGAGAAGATGGGAGGCGACTGCTGATGCTGCAGACACGCAGACGAGCTGCTGGCTCAGTGGCTACCGGAACAGCGCTCCGGACTACTGGAGTAACTGGCCACGCGGCTAAAAGTAGCGGCAGATGAGCAACGGACCCACGCGCGACTGGCGACTACCGGAGATTGTAGCCTCCGGACTGCTGCTGCTGCTGACGACAAGACTGCTGCCTCCACTCAACCTCCCCCAGCTGCCCAACACCCCTCTCACACACCCCCTGCTCAAACCCTAGCCCTACACCCACAACACCCTCTTAAACCCTAAGCCCCAGACTCCCACACATCCACCCCCCTCAGCGAGAGCTGCAGCAGTGGGAGACGAAGGAGGAGGAGGAGGAGGAGGGGACGGCACGCACAACCGACACCCCCACAACCATCACCCCCACACCCACCCCCCCACGGCTGCACCGGGTCCAGGAGCGGCTGCTGCAGGGGCCAGGGGCGGCTGCTGCAGCGGCGGTTGCTCCAGGGGCTGCTGCTCCAAGGGCTGCTGCTGTTGGGGCTGCTGCTCCATGGGCTGCTGCTGCTGGGGCGGCTGCTCCAGGTGCTGCTGCTGCAGGGGCGACTGCTCCAGTGGCTGCTGCTGCTGGGGCTGCTGCTCCAGGGGCTGCTGCTGGGGCGGCTGCTCCCGGGGCTGCTGCTGGGGTGGTTGCTCCAGGTGCTGCTGCTGCTGCTGGGGCTGCTGCTCTAGTGGCTACTCCTGTTGGGGCGGCTGCTCCAGGGGCTGCTGCTGCTGGGGCGGCTGCTCCAGGGGTTGCTGCTGCTGGGGCGGCTGCTCCAGGGGCTACTGCTGCTGGGGCGGCTGCTGCAGTAGCGGCGGCTCCAGGGGCTGCTGTTGCTGGGGCGGCTGCTCCCGGGGCTGCTGCTGCTGGGGCGGCTGCTCCAGGGGCTCCTGCTTGGGCGGCTGCTCTCGGGGCTGCTGCTCCAGGGGCTGCTGCTGCTGGGGCGGCTGCTCCAGGGGTCGCTGGTGCTGGGGCAGCTGCTCCAGGGGCTGCTGCTGCTAGGGCTGTTGCTCCAGGTGCTGCTGCTGCTGGGGCTGCTGCTCTAGTGGCTGCTGCTGCTGGGGCGGTTGCTCCAGGGGTGAGTAGGAGGGAGGGGAGGGGAAGGGCGCGGCCCCCATTGTGCCCTGACGGGCTACATTCTAGGGAGCCGCGCAGGTCCCCGAAAGTGCCTCGACGGGCGACGAAAGGGGACCGCGCGCAGGCCCCTAAGGCGCCGCGACGAGGCAACGGGAGGGGCCGGCTCGCGGGCCCCGAAAGTGCCGCGACGAGGCGACGAGAGGGACCTGCGTGCGGGCCCCCAAAACGCCGCGACGAGGCGACGGTCGGGGTCAGTGCGCGGGCCCCCAAGACATCGCGACGAGGTAGGAACCCGCCGCGCGCCTCGGGGCGCACGGCGGGCAGAAAACCGCCGTGCACCCCGAGCACACGGTGGGCAGAAAATCGCCGTGCGCCAAAATACGCCGCGCGCCCGAGGCGCGCGGCATGACGATAGGCAGCGGAAGCAAGAAGGCAGCAGGAAGGTACCTGCTCTGATACCATGTTGAGATACTAGCGAGGCTTGAGAGCCATGGCTATTGAGAGTCTTAGTAGCTTAAATTTAGGGTTGATCAATGTCGAAAAAGTTGAAAGGAGAATGAAGTGGTTGGGATACAAGTACAACACCCTAAATTGGGTTGTACTCATTACAGAGTACCCCACTGCAGGCTGGACAGCAAATACATTCTGACAAATCTGATGGTAACCTCCCACTAAATCTATCTTCGAAAAAACCCGTGCTGTTCGCAGTTGGACGATCAGTTCGTCGGCGCGGGGAATGGGGTACCGCGACTTAACTGTTACCCTGTTCAATGATCTGTAGTCGATACACATGCGAAAACCCCCGTCTTTTTTCGGTCTGAACAGTATCGGTGCGGCGAACGGTGACGAGCTCGGTCGGATGATTTTTTTCTCTAACATGTAATCTAACTGCTTCCTTAGTTCGTCGAGCTCGAGTTGTGTCAGTCTGAACTGGCGCTGTACAGTTGGCTGTGCCCCCGGTTCCAGTTCGATTCGGTGGTCATGTGCTCGCTGAGGTGGCAGTCCTTCCGGTAAGTCGTCGGGGAAAATCACGGGGTATCGTTTTAACAGTTCATGTAGATTGGGCGGTACTGCTGCCAGCAGTTTCCTGAAATCACTCGGCTGCTCTGCTCCCTCTACTACTGCTATGTCTACTGCGTACACATCAGCTCCAGCAGCGACAGCCCATTTCATTGTGACGACGTTGACGTGTACCGTTGAAGGCTCGGGCCACTGCCAGCGAGGTAGCTCGACCCAGTTACCACTACTTCGCACGGTGCAGCTACCCGTCGTCCAGTCAATTCGCGGGTTATACCGTCGCAGCCAATCACGTCCCAGTAAAATATCGTGCCCATCCAATGTCGTTGCGAGCATATCCTGTGTAAACCCGAAATTCCCCCCGCAGGGGACTTTGACTCTCTCTACCTTTTCACGTATGGCCAATGGCGTGTCGTCGACTAAGCGTGCGTCTATCTCCGGTAAGTAACGGCTAAGTGTCAATTGCAGTTTTCGTGCGGTTGCGGTATCAACTAAACTGTGGCTTGCTCCTCTATCGATAAAAATCTTCACTGCTGCTCCCTGTATTTTCCTGTGGATCATTACTGGGCAATTCATCGTGTCAGTAGAGCTACACTGTGAGATCCCCGATTGATCCTAGGGGGGGTTACAGGCGCGTTTGTCTGGGGGGTTATGGGCGCACTGACCCGCTACTGAAACAAGCCCTTTTATCCCAATGGTCTAGTGGTTGGGATTCTGACATGGTATCAGAGCGGTCTCGGGTTCGAATCCCGGTGTATGCACATGTTGGCCGTTGCCACTGTGCTCAGTCCTGGGCCTCCCAGTGTGGGGGGGTGTCAGTAGAGCTACACTGTGAGATCCCCGATTGATCCTAGGGGGGGTTACAGGCGCGTTTGTCTGGGGGGTTATGGGCGCACTGACCCGCTACTGAAACAAGCCCTTTTATCCCAATGGTCTAGTGGTTGGGATTCTGACACATCGCTGTACCCTCCTTATTCGTCCGAGTCCGATCGATAGCATGAATCGGTACCGTGACTCGGTGAGGGTCGGTGGGGTTGGGCGAGCAGGCAATCTCGTCAGTAGTTGGCCCGATTCCTACTGACTGCTGGCGTTTCCTTGCCTTAGAGACTCCCTCCCCTGCTCTGCTCCGCGGCGCCTTAGCTCCTCTGGGCATTCACTCTTGCGATGGCCCGGCCTATTGCAAGCAAAGCAGCGCCCCTTAAACGGTGCGGCAGCTGCATTCGACGCAACAACGTATACAGTGGCGTGCTCGATCGGTCCCCGAGGACGATGTCCATAGTAGGACCCCGGTCTCGGACGGCGTAAAATATCAATTTTCTCGGCGAGCGCGAGAATCTCGTTGAAGTTCGAGAGCCCGCGTAGCATGATTTCGTGCAAGATGTCCGGCTTCAGCCCTCCAACGTGCATGTAGCCGACTTGCTCGCATAATGCGAGAAAACCACTCGTATAGTCTTGAACCGATTCGAGCTGCCGCCAAGTGCGCAATCTCTGACGCGCCGAAATAGAAGCCACGATCGGCTCGAAGCGCGCCCGAAGCCCTGCGCATCACGCATCCCACGCGCTGTATTGGGCGGTCTCGCAGAATGAACTCCAGGTGACAGCTGGACCCGTGGGCCCTTCCTCTTGCGACGGTGGCTCGTAGGCGCGTGGCAACGTCACGATGACTCGCCACCAGTCCATGGCGGGGCCCCTTAGCAGCGAAACGGCATACCGAATCTTTGCTGCGTCTGACTCGACGTAATTCGCGTCGAAGAAGACGTTTATCGTGAAGACCCACAATTGAACCGTCGGACCTCCACGCTGGCTCGGGTTGAAGGAGGGCGGGCGTTGCGGCTTGAGTGGCATTGGTGCCATAATGGCCTGTTCGCCACTCTTCGCCGCGAACTCCACGTGCCGACAGGCTTCGCGAGGCTCCCGCGGGCTTGGTTTGACCCTGTTTCCTCCCATGCCAGGCATCAGTTGGGCGGCGCCATCGCTGGCTGCGCCTGAGCGCTGTCCCACGCTGTTGTTTTGTGTTGGTGTGCCGGACGAGATGACGATCGGCTCGTCCGATTGTGCAGATGCATTTGTCGGTGCGTGTGGTGGCGCTGGAGTGTTCATCGTTGATTGCTGACGCGCGGAGTCACGTTCCGCTGTGAGCGTCGCAATTTGGAGCGCCGAATCTTCAAGTTGGCGCACCAGACGGTCGAGTTGCTCCTGCGTCAATGTGGCGAGCGTGAATTCGGCCATGGCAGGGGTGTCGGGCGAGCTCAGCGAGAGCCTCGGTCGTGGCCGTGCGTGCTTACGAGAGAGCACTACGAGCGGCGGTGTTGTGTCGCTGAGAGACGTATACCCCCCCCCCAAAATTGAGATAGTGGGGAAGCGAAGGTGTGGGTGCGGTCCGAGAAGAGATCGTAGGCTCTGAATACCAAGTGTTACGAGTGCAATTGAGTGAACAAACGAGAATTGTAGTATCGAAGCAAGAGTCCAATGAGCGAAGAATATATAGCGAAACTACAGTGGTAACGGTAATGGACTGTGGTTGTCGCGTGACAGGCCTGGGACAGGTTGGGAAAAGTGTCGAAGCGGAGGCCCGGAGCGCGGGTTACCCGCCGAGCCGTGAGGTCGGGGTGCGATGTGCGAAGGTGGCGGGAGGATTGTCGATGTGAGGGTTGCGAGTAGTAACGGTGCTGACGGTGGTGCTACAGTGATGTACGCGTTGAGCAGGGATGCGAAGTAAGGAAAAGGAATTTTCCTTACACCCCTCCTGATCAATTTTGAGCTCATACTAAGGTAGGGAGGATGCAGGTACGGTACCAGTATTCCATCTCGTATAATAACAAATTGTGCATTTCTGATTTTGACAAGCCACTCCTAACTGATTACGTTTACGGTATCACTTGCATCACGTCGGGTCGACTCTGACAGGAAACATTTCCCGCCAGGACGAGCCGTTTGAGTTTGAGCACAACATTTTTGTTTTCAGATGCTTCTGTTGGATATTCATCATTTGCATGGTTTCTATGCGTCGAAGTTTCCAGTTGTCTCTAGACCAAGATCCACCCGAGTGAGAGAAACGTGAGTCGAGTCCGGCAGAGTAATGTGCTCAAGTCACCGTGATTATGAGAACGAGGGATTGTTGAGAGGCAAGAGCACTTCTATAGCCGGTGATACGAGTAATTTGACGTCACGCGATCGTCATGGCATTCTCGCTGGGAGCTGCTGAGGATCCAGCTGGCGAAATGAGAGGGACGAGCGAACCACGCGAGAGGAAGAGGCAGAGGGAAGATAGCCGTCAGGACGACGTTGACCCCGGAGGCAAGGACCCATGTTCATCGTAGCTTGACCTTATCGCGACGCAGCCATTGATTTTACCTCCGTCGCCTCGCATCTAGGCTCGAGAAACAAGGCAATCAGAATTGACGTCTTCCCAGTAAACTCTCCCAATCCCTCCACACAACCAGATAACCTGGCAACTTGCGTCCCTCCCTCCACTTGTGTTGTATTCCCTCATATCCACCTTCATTCCTCATCTCAGGAGAAGTTTTTGTAGTCGAGATAGAAGCTCTTTCCAGCCCGTATTCATTCCTAAATCCTGAAGCAGATACCGCTCGGCCTCAGCATCCCAACGCACCTCTTGTTCTCTTCTCAGTCCCTAAATCACTGTTCGAATTTCTGTCTGTATTCTTCCGCTCTCCCTCTCCCTGTCCCTCTCCCTTTCCCACCCTCGTCCTCCCCCTCTCACTCTTCCTCTCGCTCATTTTCAGATCAGGGCAGCGATGTGATCGACGCGCTACCAGCGGCGCTCTGGCACCGCATCTTCAGCCTGCTGCTCGAGCGCCGATGCATCGCCACCCCTCCGCACTCCGCGGGCGGCCGCTACTACTGCCGCGCGCTAAGCGCGGCGCAGCGAGCAGAGTTGAATGCCACCAAGGCGAATGCCAATGGTGGTGATCGTGGCGCTGCGAATCGTGCTGGCACCAACGACCCACGGAACGCTGAGAGTTGCGCCAGCAGCAGCACGGGCAAGAGCAGTAACGGCAAGTGCGAGGACGAAGGCAAGGGCAGTGCAGGGGAGAGCGACGAGGAGGAGGAGGAGGCGAAGGAGAGCGTGGTGTTCGTGAAGGCCGGGGTGTCGCCGTGCTGGCTGCATGCGCACAACGCTCGCACGTTCGGGTCCTCGTGGCCTCTGCTGTGCTGCGCGCTCGCCAGCAAGAGGCTGCTCCACCTCGTCGCCTCCTTCTCCATGAGTCCCATGCTCGCTCTCCCCCTCTCTCCCTCACTACGCCTAGTGCTGGACTCTCAGCTGATAACCTCCACTTCCACCTTTTCGCGCTCTCACACCTTCTGCCCTCTTTCTCCCCTCCCTCCATCTTTCCCCTATCCCCTTTCCTCCCCTCCCTCCCTCCCTCCCCCCTCCCTCCCCCCTCCCTCCCCCCTCCCTCCCCCCTCCCTCCCCCTCGCGTCCGACTCCAGGAACACGGCACGCCTATCAGTCTGCACCTCACCTCCGCCCAGCCCCAGTGGACCACCAGCGTGCGCTGGCTGCTCTCCCGCTCCTCTCCCACCTTCCCTTCCCTCCGCCTCTCCTTCTCCCACCCCTCCCTCATCCCCCTCATCCGCCGCCCCTTCACTCTCCCCTCCTCCCCCGCCCCCTCCTCCATCTCATCCCTGCACCTAACTCTGAGCATCAGAGAATCCTTCCCAAAGGAGGATTACCGTAAGAGCCACTGGTATCTGGCATTTCTCACTCCCTGCTCCTCCCTGCACTCCCTCACACTCGGACGCGGCGCCTGGCGCTTAGGTAAAGGCTGCCTCACCGCCCCCTGGATGCAGTCCCTTCGCAGCTTAACCCTAAAAAATGTGGACCCCGGGGCATCTCTCTTGAAGCCCTGGCCGCCATTGCACCTCAGCTGCACGAATTCACGTTCTGCGAGCCGCATAAGGTGGAGGAGGGGGCGGGGCGGGGAGCTTTCACAGGACCCGTGCTGCTGTGCCTCGAGTTCCCCAGGGCTCGCCACCTCTCCTTCCGCTTCCTTAACCACGAGCTCAAGCTGAAACTCTCCCTTGCTTCTGATTCTCTCACCTCCTTCGCAGCCTCTGCTCTGTCCCTCACACTCGCCTGCCACTCTGCCCGCCCTCTAACGTTGACCCAGCTTTTTCTGTTTGGGGAAGAGAGGATCCATATTGCCTCCTTTGACATTGCCTCTGTCCGTGCGCTTTACCTCAACGCTCCGGTTAATTTTCTGTCGCCGCGCCCTGCCCCCATCCCTGCCGCTGTTCGAGAAGCGGAGGTGTGCGGGGATTCGTTTCTGTTTATCCCGCCGCCGTTGCCATTCGCATGGGCGGACTGGCTGCGTGCACTTGCGCCTACAGTGGAGCTGCTTATAGCGAGGCATGACATCAAGCTTGCGGACTGCAAATTCCCCTGGCCGCGGTTGCGGAGCCTTGGGATTGTCGTGGAGAGCGATTACTTTGCGTGGAACGAACCTCGCGGGGAGATGGCGGTGGAAGATGTGGCGAAAGCAGATGGGAACGAGTACGTACAGTTTTCGAGGGACCAGCGGAGTGATCGGAGGGAGGAGGGGAGGGAGAGGGAGCACGATATGTGGAGTCGAGGGTTGACTCGCTTCCATGCCAGCCCATTTGGGAACCAGCTGGTTGGTGTTGGACCCGACGACTATGATGGTGTTGATGCTGGTGGAGACCTGAATGATACGGTGCATGAGGCACCTGCACACAGGCCTCATTCCCCCTCTCTGTGCATTCCTCCAAGCATCAACTCTCCGAATCTGCGAGCCATCTTCTTCCCGACCCTCGGCGACACACCCACAGCCCTGCTGGGAGATCTCAAGGCGAGGTATCCGTCTCTGGCGCTGTACTGTGTTGCGAGGCACACGTGGTACTGGGAGAGGAAAGGGATGAGGTTGATTGATGGGCCGGTGGCGCATGTGAGGGGGCCGAGAGGAGGGAAGGGTAGCGCTTCTTTCAGGAATGGGCGGAAGAGCGTTCGGGACAAAATGCACAGTGTGAATCTGGGGCTGATGGCAGGGTATAGGTTGGATGAGGAGGAGTGGTTCATGGTTGAGGGTCAGTTGTGGTTTCCGGTGGTTGGTGAGGAGGAGGGGGGGGGAGATGGTGATGATGATAGCGATAGTGATGAGTTTGATGATGACGAGGAGAAGATTGAGCATGAGGATGAGGATGAGGATGGGGATGAGGATGATGATGATGAGGATGACAATGAGGACGAGGATGAGTAAGGAAGGAACTGTCTTCGGATGGAATCGATGCAGTGGAGTACAATGCACGTACTAGAGGTTTATTGATGGACCCGACCCCGTCTATTCCCAATGTAGTAGTTTACGCGTTCGTCAAATTTAAGTAGGTACATTGTTTCTGTGTGGTTCAGTGATGTATACGCCTTTCTACGTTATGCCCAAAGCATGCCTTGTGTCCACTTTGTGAAGCATGCCGACCCACCAGAAGCCACTCACAAACAGATTCACAAGATTCCGAATGACAGACTGTGGTATTGTTTTCCGAAGCTGAGGATGTGCAACAAAAGATCAAAATGGAGGCTCAAGTTAGGGGTTCTATTATTTGTAGTTGTACGAGTGCAGGGTAAAGGGAGAGTGCACGATTCCTTGCATGTATCTTTTAGTTGTTAATTCCTTCAGTTTCATGACGAACCACTCCAAACAATCAACCGCTTCGCGTCGCGTCACGTCCACTCTGACAGGATTATCTCCCGCCAGGCACAACGGTTTGATTTGAGCTCCACATTTTTGTTTTCGTCCAGCAGCATAGGCTCCTATGGTTTAGCCAAGGCTCATCATCTTCATGATAAAAAAACGCATCAAAGCTTCGAGGTCACAGGTTTGAGTCCAAGACAGCCCCAAGGCCCACTCGCTTTATTCCATTCTCCCTGCAGGTTTGATTTGATCCCATACCCATACATGGGCAGTTGAACTACGAGACCTCGACACTAATGCGCAGATGTCACCTTGATGATTCAAACGAAGAACCGATGAGAGGCGAAATCGATTTATAAAGCCAGTGAAACGAGTCATTCGAATTTACGCTATCGCGATGGCATCGTCGCTGGGCGCTGCTGGTGTTCCCATTGGCGAACTGAGAGACACGAGCGAGCGACGCGTTCAGAGGAGGCGAACGAACGATAGACGTCAGGACGACGCTGACCCCGAAGGCAAGGGCCCACATCCTGCCGGAGCTGGATCGAAACGTGACGCAGTCGCTTGACTCAATCGCGGCTAAAAAGCAAAACATCCATACTTAAATGTCTGCGCAATGAATATTCCATCGTCAATATAGCAACCCAAGTTGGCAGTTTTGGAACTCCCCTCGACCTTCATTCCTCATTTTGGAAGCAACTTATTCCACCATCACTCCTTAATTCCTCTCCATCTCGGCATCGACACACTCCGTTTCTATCTCCTCCTGTATACTGTGAAAATGAGTAAGCAGGAATGAAATGACTAAGGAAAGATTGGGTACAAATACAACCCTAGAAACCCTGTACCCCATATGTGCTACCCCACTATAGCCTACAACAACTATGTCATATAAATCTGACACACCCCCATAGGCAAAGTGGGGGAGAACAAGGGGTCACAAGACCAGTCAAGCAAAGCAAAGCAAGCTCAGGGTGGATCACAAAGTCACCACACAGTCCGAGCACAAGAGTAGGGCCAGAGGCCAGTTCACATGCAGGAGTACAGACATATATATAAAACTAGACAAACAAGAGCAGGCATATATATATGTCACAGTACAAGTGAAGTCAAGAGGAGAGCAAGTGAGGCAAGACAGGCACAAGACCCAACTGGGTGCAAAAGCGCTGATGGTCACAAGGCGCGAGTGCCTTGGTGAACACATCAGCAGTGTTGGCCTCAGAGGCCACGTACGCAAGTCGCAACTGACCACGCTGCTGCAGCTCACGAGCAAAGAAGTAGCGGAGAGCAATGTGCTTCGTTCTGTGCTCCAAGCGCTGCTCTCGACACAAGGCCAGCATAGCCTTGTTGTCTACGTACAGCACTGGAGGAGAACGAGGCGGCTCTCCAAGGTCAGTCAGCAGGTAGGTGAGCCAGCGAAGCTCCTGTGCAGCCATGGCCCCGGCGTAGATCTCAGCCTCACAACTGGAGCCGAGAACCGAAGACGAGCGAGTAGACCGCCACGAGACAGAGCCGGAACCAAGGCTGAAGGTGTAACCCTGTGACGACCGCTGCGTAGCCTGGTCGTCAGCCCAAGAAGCGTCCGCGTGGCCGGTAAGGACCACTGGACTCCGCCCTCCAAGCACTAGCCCCATGCCCAACGTACTGCACAGGTAGCGCAATACCCTCTTCGCTGCAGCCATGTGCTCCGGTCTGTGTCTCCCAGGAGCAACATAGCGTGCAAGAATGCTCAGAGGGTATGCAAGGTCAGGTCGTGTGCAGGTCATCAGGTACATGAGGCAGCCAACAAGCTCTGCATACGGACCACTCGACTCTACGGACTCATCCGAAGGCAGAGCTGAGAGTGAGTGGCGAGTAGGCAGAGGACTGGCCTGAGGCGAGGAGTACGTGAAGCCGAAGCGCTGAAGGACCTGCTGCACCATGTGTGACTGAGTCAAGGTAATGGTGCGGCGTGCTCTGTCCCGAGTGATCTGCAAGCCAAGGTAGCTGCGCAGTTCACCCAGGTCTGTGCACGTGTGTCTCTTCAGCAGCTCGGACTTCACGTAGGCGAGTCCAGCAGTGTCTGCTGTGGCAAAGACCAAGTCGTCGACGTACACGAGGATGTAGAACGGCGGCAGGGAAGTGTCGGTGCGAAGAAACAGCGACGGGTCAGCAGTAGAAGGAGCAAACCCAAGAGCCGCAAGCGTAGTCCTCAGTGTGTCGTGCCACTCATGCGGTGCCTGGCGGAGACCGTAGACTGGCCGTCGGAGGCTCCACTGGGTGTCAGGAGGGAAAGTCCCAGTAAAGCCAGGTGGACGGCGAAGCCAAATCTCCTCGTGCAGGCTACCCTGCAAGAACGCAGTGCTGAAGTCGAGAGAGTGAAGCTCGTAGTCGCGCTGAGCGGCTATGTGCAGCAGCACCCGAAGAGTAGTCATCTTCGGGGTGGGAGAGAAGGTCTGAAAGTAGTCAACTCCCTGCCGCTGACTGAAGCCACGAGCAACGTACCGTGCCTTGAAGACAGGTGGAGAGCCCGGCGGCCGCTTCACCCTGAAGATCCACATGCCACTGACGATGTTCGCCCCAGGAGGGGGAACCGCGTCAACGTAGGTGCCTGTGGACTTCCAGGAAGCCATCTCTGCATCCATAGCTGCCTGCCACTGAGAGGAGTAGGGACCCTCTACGGCCTCCGCGTAAGAACGCGGAGTCGGGATGTCTAGTGCATCCGGGTCTCCCTCAGGGGCAAGCAGTACAGACGCGAGATGAGTTGAAGCAGCCGCTAGACACTGTAACTCCTCCTGCCTGTCCTCTAGGACGTCCGTGCTAAGAGCACACTCACCCCCGACGGACGGAGGACAGACAGACGCAGACTCAGCAACAAGACTAGCAGCGTAGTCGAGACGACAGCGAGCAGCAAAGTCGACGAGCTCAGCGACTAGAGCAGACGCAGCAGTGGACTCAAAAGAGGGGTCAGTGACGACAGTAGCAAGCAGACGTGTGACAGTAGGACTGGCAGCACGAAGAGAGTCCGACTCAGGGTCGGCAAGCGCAGGAAGAGAGGACTCAGGAAGAGAAGGCAAAGGGGCACGCAGAGGAGCAGTGGACGGACGCAAAGACATCCGGTGCGTGCCAGGGACAGGAGGAGGACGCTGACGCGAACTGCGACCACTAGCACGAGCAGCACGAACAGGCGACGCGGGACGAGACGCAGGCTCACGACGCTCAGCAAGACCTCCAGTAGGACCAGTGTAAGGAGAGGGAGCTGGCAGTGGAGAGGAAGGCTCCAGCAGGGACTGCGACTGGACAGGCGGTGGACCCTCTACCGGAGGAGAAAGACCAAGAACCTGCTGCAAGAGCGGAACGAAGTACGGCCGAGGCCGCGCGGCAGCTCCAGACTCAGCAGGGTCTGCACCAGCACCCTCAGCGACAGCACCAGCGCCACCCACACCTCCAGTGGCAGGACCAACAGCAGTAGGCTCAGCACCAGCTCCCTCAGCAGCTCCAGCTCCAGGAGGACCCGCAGGTCCAGCAGCTCCGGGACCGGCAGCACCCGCACCCACGACGGTCGAAGAAGCTCCAGCTCCAGCTCGAGCAGCACCTCCAGACTCAGCAGCACGCCTCCAGCGGCGAGCGAACCACTCGCGCAGCTCCTGTGGAGAGAGGGGCTCCCGGCGAGACGCAGCAGCAGGAGAAACCCCAGGCTCAGCAGCTCCAGACTCAGCACCCCCAGGCACAACAGCTCCAGACGTAGCACCCCCAGGCTCAGCAGCTCCAGACTCAGCACCTCCAGGCTCAGCAGCTCCAGACGCAGCACCCCCAGGCTCAGCAGCTCCCAGCTCAGCACCTCCAGGCTCAGTAGCTCCCGACCCAGCACCCCCAGACCCTGCACCCCCAGGCACAGCACCCCCCGGCTCAGCACCCCCAGGCTCCGCACCCTCCGCAGTAGCACCCTCAGGCCCAGCACCCCCAGCAGTAGCACCCCCAGGCTCAGCACCCCCGCGCACAGCACCCCCAGAGTCAGCACCCCCAGGCTCAGCACCCGCAGCAGCACCAGAGTCACCAGTTACCTCGACTGGGTCACCGGCGTCTACCTGGGACACACCTGAGGGGGCAGGAACCTGAGGGGGGAGGGGGTCTACCGGGGGGGGAACCGGCACAAGGAAGTCCGGGGGAGGGGGGAGGGAAGGAGTGCGGTAGGGGAAGAGACGGTAGAAGGGGACTGACTCGTCGAACGTGACGTCCTGGGAGGACAGAACACGACGAGAGGAGGGGTGGTAAAACTGCCACCCTGGGGCGTCAGTGGGGAAGCCAAGGAAGACACAGGGAGCAGCACGAGGGGACAGCTTGTCCGCAGACAAGTCGCGGACAAACGCCCGAGATCCCCAGACACGGAACACAGACGCATCGCCAACCTTCCCCGTCCACAGCAAGGCTGGGGACATCGCAGGCCGAGAGACCCGGGGGTGAAGGTTGAGCTGATGCGCCGCGTACCTCACTGCAAACGGCCACAGAAAATGGGGGGCAGCCGCATGCATCATGGACGTACGAGCGACATCCATGACCATGCCAATGCGGCGCTCAGCAATCCCATT